TTGGCCCTATCATGCTGTTTCTGCTGGGTGCCAGTTATACTTAATATCATAGAAACTTCATAGAAATTAATCAATTTCTGCATAAAGTAGATTAAATCTTTACCTTCATTAAATGCATATTGAGTCCTGCAGACCCAAATATTTGTGAAAGACAATATATTTCCAGTACAAATGCATCAATACTGCTTTTCAGTTAAAATGTACTTGAGATTAAGCACAGGGAATTTACTTCTGAGTAAACTTGCATAAGATTGGAGTGCATGATTTCTTCCTTTGCTTTACAAGGAATGCATATTTAAGCATTTTTAAATTTCACTGTTTTCAGTAGCAGTAAATGGAAGACGGAAGTAATTTCCCCAATGTAACCCATCAGAGTTAAAAATGCTGAATTTGCATTGTATTCTTCTTTATATTTTTAGCTAGCATATGTTAAGATCATCATATGGACTTCCAGCCTGTATTCCTACCTGAGATAAAGTTTCTTTGCATTTCTTTTTTAAATAAGAGGATGATCCATTCATAGTTGAACACTTTTAAGTCTCATTGATTCCAATAACAAAGATTCAAGTATGTCCATTTTGACTGGATCACCAAGTAAATATAGTTACATATCTACATCTAGATAAAATTCTTCCTAGTAGTACATTCCAAGAAAGGTAGACAGTTTTGCAATAAGTTACATAATGAAGAAAATGATGGGTACGCTATCAGTTGTTGAAGTATCACCCTGCAAGGCAATAAACTGAGCAATAATAACTCTGTTTAGGTATCTGGTGGAATGCAAGGGACATTAAACTGTAATAGAAACACTCATCTCAAGGAAGAAATTAGTTCCATTTTTTGATCGTGTGAGATAACACTTTATTTTGAAGCAAAATGCTAACTTTCTTTTCAGCAAAACAGACTTAAAATAATCTCTGTAACCAGGGTTCCTTCTGGTTGACAGAAAGGCTCCTTAGTGCCTTGAAATAAAAATGTTTAGGATTTACCTTCACATGCCACCAAAAGTTATGAATCACGACTTTCTCTATAAAAATTTGTTCTGAACATCTAAAGAGTCTCTGTTTAAAAGAGTTTCTTCAAATATGGTACAAACCTCATCTACAAATTGCTCTCTTTGATCTGAACACTATTTTGCATAATGCTGCTTGACAACAACCCTATTTTTTACAGAGCGGTGCACGCAATCTCCTCCCTCACAACCTATAACAAAGGTAGTAAATACTACCGACGGGGCTGTTATGTAAGAGCATAGGGGTTATCCCACCCAGTTTTGGAAGTCCCATGAGGTATTTTTTTTTAAGGCATCACAATTCACTTCTTAAAAACACTTTTTCCCACAATTTAATGTCACCAGGAGGAGAAAGCTTTTGTGAATGTGCCTGTGTACCCCCTCCCATTTCTCTACCTGAGTCCATAAACAAGAAATGGTGTTTCTGCATATCATACGCAGGTATAGTAGCTAAATTCTGCAACAATGCTTTCTAAATTTAGCCTTCAAATAATTTAAGTCCGAGAAAGACAAGTGCTCTAGAAAGTTAATAAATTGCACAAACCACAGAACCTACAGTACTAAAATATACATAGATAAATTCTTTTACACACACTTCAACCAGCACTTCTTGAAGATTTTAGAAAATTCCTTTGGTTGAAGAGATCTGTATTGTACACACTATATTATATTTTGTTACAACGGCATATGCCTTAACTCTTGAAACCATTGGTTGGATTGAGGGGCTACAATGTTAAAGCTCTTGCTCCAGACTTGATCCTACCAGTGATAAGATATATTATATGATATAACATGTGGCTATATGTCATACGTGTGGGTCTGCTGATGAAGAACGTGGAGTAAGTTGGACTTCTACAGGACTGCAAATGAGCGCGCTTTAGCAGTGACAAACAGAAGCACTGCTTGCCCGCAGAACTTTAAGAACAAGTGGAGGACTTGTCCACAGGCCTTTCTTAGTCTGCAGACAAGTACGGGACTTCACTTGTTCCCTGGTCTTGACATTGCGGATGATCTGAATGTGCAGCTCATGATTTAGACATGACTTAAGATCTGCTGACAACCATTGTTACTCATCACTGGTGCAATCTTCTTAATGAGCGCAAGTCACTGGCACACGTTTCCCATTTTTCCCTCTATGCTGGCCCCTCAGCATTCTGTCCTTGGACCTTCATTCTCAACTTCCCCCTTTCTGCTACAAGGCAGTAGTATTCAAGTCTGTTTGCCCTGCTTTAGTTGCCTTGGAAAGGCCATTCTCTTCATCAGCCAGCGATACAGGGTTCTCGTGAATTTCCATGGCTTTCGTGTGCTTAGCTTCTTCGCTTTGGGCAGACTCCTTGTTTCGACAACGTTTGCAGCAGCAGCAACAGTATTTGCTACAGGTAAGGCTTGCAGTGGTTATCACGTTATCCCATGGTTGCAAGGAGTGCATCCATCTAGGAAGGAAATCCCAACTTCGAAGCTTCTCAGGGAGCAGCTGTGGTTTCTTCTTTTGCAGAAGGTGGACGGTGAGCACAAAGATCAACGCTGCAAAGATGGGAACAGCCACGCCCACCAGGTATGGCCAACCAGCCACCGAAAGGCCAAAGACAGCCAAGGGGATCAAGAAGAAGCAGGAGAGGAGGTAGAAAATGGCAAACCATCTGTACTTGGCAGTTATATTCCCTAAACCCTTTGACAGGCGAATGGGGAGGCGCATAAAAGGAAGCGGGTACCAGAGGATGATCCCAGAGATATTGAAAAAGAAGTGGCACAAAGCAATCTGAAAGCAAACACAGTTCAAAGGGAAAGTCAGAGGAACATTGAGACAATGCATGACTTACAGACCATACAATTATCGGTTGTTTTCTTTTCTGACACGGAAACCTCTCCCATTACCTGACTTATTAAGACCTTCCAAGTTGAATAAACAGTCCAGTTCTCTGCTGCACATCTCCTGACTGAAAAGAACAGGAGCCATGCCAGAGCAAATCCTCATTCTCGCTTAAGTGGCTGTTCAAAACCGGTAATACCAGACTGAATACCAGGTGGTTTATCAGTTCACATGCCATTTTTCATCGCAAAATAATGAACAGTGCACACTCAGAATACATAAGTATCCAGAGCAAGCATGTTTTAAAACCCTTTTTCTAAAATATCCAGCTATGGAAAAGTTGGAAAGAGAATTTAAACACGGGGGAGAGTTTGGATCAAGACTCTGCAGTGTTCTCGATCTGACAACATTTAGCGGATATTTTTGGTAAGTTTAATTTTGTCCTCCGCATCAAATACAGTCTGACCTTGAGTGCCCTTTGCTTTGAAATGAAATCAGAATTCAGAACGAAATGGTAAATATTGGCTTTAATCTGATAAAACTGAAAAGTGATCATCTGTCAGACAAGAGAAGGTTAAGGAAGAGATGATAGCAATCTTCCCATCCTTGAAGGGCTGTCACAGGGAAAAGGAGGTGGATTTATTCTCCCTAGTGCCCATGGGTAGGACAATACCAATAGATGGAAGTTTTACAGAGGGAGATCCAAATTCAAAATAGAGAGGAATTTCCTGACTGTGAGAGCTCTGAAGCAGTGGAACGTCTGGCCTTCTGGAGCCATGAAGGCCCATCAGAGCAGGCTTCTCAAGCCAAGCTTGGACAGCCATTTGTCTGGGATGGTCTGAGGATTTCTGCCCTGAGCAGAGGGCTGGACCAGGAGATCTCCAAGGTCTCTTTCCACCGTAGGATTCCATGACTGAGATGAAACCAACTCTTAATAATAACCGCAACAATCATTGCCATTAGAAAAGTAACTGTCCACTAAGGTTAAGTATTACAAAACACTGTGATGTGTTACTTTATATACCATGCCAAACCATGAACGAGTTGGAATGTTGTGCTTTTTCTCTCCTTCCCCTTCTCACATACTCAGATCCGCTTGTTCCCAGTTGGTACAAACTGTAATTTGGGCCAGTATCTAATGTGGGAATCTAGACTTTCTGCTTCTCTTCCAAACCAGAACTGGGAACTATGTTCTCACCCTTGGAGAAACAAACTGTGGATCACCTTTTCAGACCTTAAAGCAAACGGTCATTGCTGATGGGGAAATAAATACCTAAGAGAAGGGAGCAATTCTAGTTGACTTGTGAGATGTTAAGATTTCAAATATCAAGAAGTGCTCACCTGTAAGGAATATTTCAGTCGATTTCCAGGACTGGCCAGTGCAGCTAGAATAGCTGTTGTGGTGGTACCAATATTAGATCCCAGGGTTAGGGGGTAGGCCCGTTCAATACTTATAACTCCAATTCCTGATGGGAAGAAAACAGGAGGAATTGCGTCATTTCATCGTAATTTTATATAATGCCATATTGTCCAAAGTGTTTCATCCACATTAGCTTGGGCTGAGCAAGTGGCTTTCTTACATTCATCAATTCTGAATCACAGTAGGATGTTTGCACTTGTAAAGATACTCCTTGCAGGATCTACCACTTACAAACTCAGTTCTGAAAGCAAAATCTACATAGCAATTGTCACTCCAAGCCAGTATTGTTAAGAATGGAGGTAGATAGGAGATTTTCATTTCTATCTTAGCTTATTGCTTATTGCTAGGATTTGTTGGTATTGTACAGAATTTGCTTTTCTAGGAAGACAAGTCAAAATGTATAATATACTATTGTATAAAACATAGCAGTCGCCCCATTGTTGCTCAATCCGGCAGCTGAAAGATAGACTACTCTGTTTAAAACAAACAACAATAATTAAAAAATCCTTTCTGTTACATACAAACATACAGCTCTTACCAACAAGTGGAGTGATAGCAGATGTGAACACTGAACTGCTTTGAACAATGAAGGTCATGCCTGCTCCTACTAACATAGCCAAATAACCAGTTAGCCAAGAAAATGGAAATGGAAAATCTGGAAAATAGAAACATAAGAGATGTTAGATTTATATAGCACGTTCTGTTCTACCTAATGCATTGTCTTAAATATTGTGGTGATTACATTCTAACAGCAGCAACACAGAAACAGGAGCAACTGGAAAGATACTGAAAGATGCACGAGTCCCTTCTCAGTGTGTTTGGATGGAGACACACTTCTGTCTGGCTAACAAGGCAACGCTTCATAATCATTAATGGCTGTTAACTTGAAATAAAAAGCTGAAAGATCTTCCATATGGGGGGAAGGTTGTTGACAAAGTGGTCAAGCTACAACTTCACTGGGCTGTGGAGGAAGCAGATTATCTGAACCCCTTCCAGTAGAGTTTCAGGCATGGGTATGAAGCCACTGGAGAGGTCATCTGCTGACATGGAGTTAATATCATCTGAACATTGATGATACTCCATTGTACATCTTGAACCCCTGGTTGCCCAACTGATACCATCAAGTTCTGTCTCAATGCCTGGGGGCTGTGGTGGTCTGGATGGGGAACAGCTTAACCCTTACAAGACCAGGTGGCTATGAGTTTTAGGGCTACCAATTCCTGGAGACTTTCCATTTTTAGTTCTGGAGAGGGCTGCACTACTCAGTCAGAACTAGTATGGGGTACTTCCTGAACTTGCAGCATCTGTTTAAGGAGCAGGCAGCAGCTGTTGCTAGGAGGGCCTCTGCCCAAATCCATCTTATGCACTAGTTGTGCCCATTCCTCTCCTCATGGTTACTCATGCCTTGGTGACCTCTCACTTGAATGACTGCAATGCACTTTATACAGGGCTATGTTTGAAGGTCACTGGGAAGTTACAGATGATCCAGAATGCAGGAACACAGGTAGCTATATGTGCACCCATATAACACGATTCCTGCGCAAGGTACATTGGTTACTCACAGGATTCCATGTGTAATCAAAGTGCTGATATTGCCTACAAAGTCCTTCATGGCCCAGGACCAAAGTATTTGAGGTAAAGGACAATCCCTGCCTGATTGTCTCTGCCTGCCCAACAAGATCAGATAGATTGGCATGTTCTGGGTCCCCTCTATTAAACAGTGCCATCTGGCAGGACCAAGGAAGTTACTTTGTCACAGTATTGCCCTTTGGAAGAGTATTCCCCCCTTCCCCAGAGATCTGGGTGGCTGTGACCATGCTAGCCTTTAGCAGGCCTTGAAACTGGCTTTCTCCTTGGGCCTTGGACCAGGATGCTCCATGAGTTGCCAATTTGTTAAAATTAAAGCGAATTTTGACCCCAGCACTATAGGGCTGTGCTTTTTTACAGTATATCTTTTCCTAGATTTATTAAATTTGCATTTCTTGTTCTTTTTAATGTTGTTAACTGCTCAGAGATACTGGTGAGTGGGTGGCCATATACTGTAAATTGAACAAAATAAACAAACACTAATGCAATTTTCCATTTCAGCGTATTTGTATTCCCAAATGCAAATACTATTTATATTTGAAAGCTCAAAGTCCATTAGCTTTTCCTGCTTGTTGCTCTTTCTTCTGAAGGAAATTCAGAAAATATTGTTTGCTTGTTTGTTTGTTTTAAAGACAAAGCTTTAAGGAAAGCCACAACTGGTCTTCTAGCTCTGCCAATGATTCTTTTTTGCCCACTTTCCACCTGGAATTCTGTCCTGTCTGCTTTGGGTCAAAATTATCATTTTGATGATGGCTAGAGGGGAACAAAGCTTGACAAGAAGAAAAGAGCAGGTGCTAGAAATGAAACAGTATGGGCAGAACCTTAGAAGAATAATTTGGCTGCGGAGAAATCAGGATTTCTCACTTTGTTTTTCATATAGGGCTTTTCAAATATGAGCACCTCAGCTAAGAATAGGCAATGCCTTTAGAGTACTGCTTTGGCACATATAAGCTCCCTGCCCAAGTGACTCTCCTTATAACTCAACTCCATGCATGCAAGGAAAAGGGAAGGTAAGCATGTTCAAAATGAAACAATAACATCCACCTACACCATTTCTCAATATTGCCTGTTGGCAATGTTGGAACTTTTAGAGAATGCAAACAACGTTTCACCGCTTTGTTTGAAACGTGCTGTCCAGCCCAGAAAGTACACAAAACTAAGCTAGCATGGGAGGAAGCATGCTTAGGGTTCCCAAGGGGGTAGTGGGGTGGGGAGCAACAGGTTGCCTTCTAGGTCAGCAAAGGTCAGCCTGAGGCTGCCTTTTGCATACTGGCTGGTAATTCTGCAGCTCCAAACATGGAATGGGTGTTGGACGTGCATTTGAACACTGAGCCATAATGATTTGAGAGAGCCTTTAGGATTTCTGTTCTCCACAGAAGGTTAATTTATACATCAAACACCAGGATGCTCTGCAACAAAGATGAGAATCTCCATTCCCCCAGGGACAATCTTTCCCCACCTCAGGCCTCTTCTCTCTCCCCATAAGAAGAGGCAACACAAAACATCATCTCTATTGCCTACTTCTCAGATCAGCATCTGCAGCTGAAATCTAGCTGCTTGAAGGAAGAGAGCCTATGGCAGAAAAAAAACAGGAGTCTGGAACCCCTTTTCCTACTAATAAAGGGTATTAAAAGGTGGAAGCTTTTGCAAGCTGCAGCTCGGAAAAGCTTCCACCTTTTAACACACTTTATTAGTAGGAAAAGGGGCTACCAGACTCCTGATATTTAACTCTAGCTGGAGATACTTCTCTAGTGTTTTTCAAGTCAACAAAGGCTCATCTCTAAGCCTCAACAGGCCCAAAGCTCCAGAAAATTGAGAGATTCTTCCGATCCTAGACAATTTTCATTGCATTCAGTATTTCTATGCATTCTCTTTCAGGTCAAGTTTCTTGGAGCTGGTGATTTCCTGGATGCATCCATATAGCTTTCTCAGCAACAACATTATTATAATTAGGTTTGTAATCCACCTTTATGTTGTACAACTCAAGGTGGTGAACATTTTCTCCTGAGAGGTGGGCTGAGCTGAGAGAGTGTCTAGGTCCTTCCACTTGCTCTAGAGCAGTGTTTCAAATCAAATCAAATCAAATCAATTTCATTACAGCCCTAAGGCCAGATATAATCAAAATATCTAGTAATAGAAGTATTACATCCTTCTATATATAGATATATAACAAAAAACAATAGGTATAATAATAAAAATAAAGAACGGAAATACTAAAATCAAAATAAAATACCATTATAAGAAATTCCAAATGTAAGTAATGGTGCAGCATATCGTACAGATGGCAGCACAAAACTGGCTGACTTGGGAGGATATTTTCGAGCCCTTGTCTGAAAGAAGTAACATTAAATAGAAATCACACTCCCAACTGGACATTTCTTCAAGGGTCTTCTATACAAGGGTCTGTCCAGAGTCCTTATATAGGGAGCAATACAGTAGCAG